AGATCCAGCACTGCCTTCGTCGTTTGGAATGGCAGCAGAGCAGCAAAGCTTCTGCCATAACCTGAGCTGGAGCTGTATCCACAGGTGAAAATCCTAGGCATGATAGAGGTGCTGGTGGCATATTCCAATGGCGGTGTGACGGGTGCAGGTGGTCCTTCGAGAGGTCAACATAGGCCGGGGTCTCCATGGGCCGGGGTCTCCATGCAGCCGAGGGTGACACTTCCACGATCCGGGCAGGCACGGCTGGCAGTGGCTATGGAAGCCATTCCGTCCGGGAAGAACAGTCGCTTTGGAGAAGAACGATGCAACGCAGGAAAGTTTACGCAGGAAGAACAGAACTGTGTACTATGAGATGTGCATCGGATGCTTCGCGACCAAGTCAAATGCCGACAGTTGGTCAGGCGTCCGTGTGGGTCACGAGCTCATGCCAGAGACACCGTTGTGCACCAATCACAAGCTGCTCACACGCAACTCCGTTCTCGATGTCGAATGATCTGACCGCCTTATCTCGCTACGACGAAGCCGCTCCATCACGAGCCTGATCAAGCCAGCTGTGCGCTTAGCATCTATATGATCGGCATTGATTATGTGGCAGCGGAGAAAGCGAATGGGAGGGTCTCCTGGCAGTTGTCGCCGAAGCCCACCGGAGCGTTTTCCGGCTGAATGCAGGTGTGCGGCACATGCAAATGAATGCGAGGCGGTCAACACGCATCGTGGTCAAAACGAAAAGCGCCATATTGCTGCTCCGGCCATGGAAGCTGAAGCGCGCAAAAAGAGTAATCCGACTAACAAACTATGGCAACGACTATGACGGAATCTGGAGATCGGATCGTGAAGTACCGCCGGCGTAAAGGCGCTGGACTTGAGGCCGAAATGAAGGTCGACTGCACAGGGCGTGGTGGAGACGAAAGGGGACAGCGCAGAAAGCAGCTAGGCCGCATTGGTAAGCGACTAATGCTTAATCTCCACCCTCGGCAAAGTGGCGTGGCCAATGCTATTATCGATTCTGGAGCCACGGCGCCTCACACAAAGGACCGTTCGGTCGTGCAACACCGGCTCCGGCGCGAAAACAACACCAAGGGCAGGTGACGTCTTCCGTAAGCAAAAGACCGAATTTGCTGTTTGGTTCTCACAGGCTCGAGCGTGCGTGAACGGCGCAGTGAGATGTTTGCAAAACTAAATATGCGCTGACGCACCCTGCAGATTCTGCAACACTGACACCGTAAAGACACTATTTCAGGAAAATGATCTCCAGAGGCTTTGCTGGGAGGCCCAAGTGCCGGTGGAGAACCTCTGTTCAACGGGCAACACGATAAGGGCCGCCCCTGAAGATACCCTGACGAGATCGCCACCTAGAGGCTCAGCTCGCATAGAGCAGAGGCCGTGAGGACAAACGTGCCTCGCCATGTTCTCGAAATGGACATGCTGCGTTCCTCCGCCTATAGCGCGTAATTAGAACAACAGCCGCCGGCCTGGGGATGGCGGCCTGTGTGCAGCAAGACGACAACAACACAGTCTGGACTGAACGACCAACACAGGCCGTTCATTTCTGCAACACGAGAAGCCACCGCGAGCCTCCACAGCCAACCTGCCGATCTGGTCTTAGCACCAGGCACGCACCGCCTGCGAGTGGCCAGCGGGGCGGCAGGCCAGCTTGGTTCCTGCATTAGCCCTGACATCCGCCAGACCACTTGCAGCGCCCAGATGCTTTGGCCCCTGTCGCCCGTCCTGTTTCCCCCTTTCAGTGGCCACTTGTTTCCGGTCCGCGCTACCGTGCTGTAATCTCCTGACGGTATATATCCAGGCAGCGAGGTCGCCTTGCTGTTTTTTTCACTTCACAGCCAAACTTTCGAGCTTCAAGTCCTTTGACCTTCGGTCGTCCATTCGTTGTTACCAACTAATACTATCATTAATAATACACACTCGCCAACTCTCTCCCACCACCTCCACCACCAACCAACACTTCCAACTCTACCGTTTCAAGTTCTAATACCCAACAATCAACATGCGTTACTCCATCGCCATCGCTGCCTTCGCCGGCCTTGCCGCTGCCGTTCCCCAATACGGCGCCTACCCCGCCGCCCCGGCCAGCACCCCCGCTGCCCCGGCCTACCCTGCCTACCCTGCTCAGCCCGAGTCCAGCAAGCCCGCCTACCCTGAGGTCCCTGCTGAGAGCTCCAAGGCTCCTGAGTACCCAGCCTACCCCGCTGAGACTCCCTCCGCTCCTGCTCCTGAGTACCCCGCCTCCAAGACCCCCGAGGTCCCTGAGCACGAGTCCTCCGCTATGCCTACTCCTTCGGCCTCCAAGCCTGCTGAGTACCCCATGGAGACTCCTTCCAAGCCCGCTGAGGTTCCCTCCGTCTCCACCAAGACCCCCGAGGTTCCTGAGCACGCCACCTCTGAGGTTCCCTCCTACCCTGCCTCCTCCATGACCCCTGAGGTCCCCGAGGCCGAGACCACCTCTTGCCTCAGCTCCACCACCATCACCGTCACCGTCCCCTACCCCACCGGTACTCCCGTCGTTCCTGGTGCTGGCAAGCCCTCCGGCTACCCCATGGTTCCCGGTGCTGGCAAGCCTTCCGGCTCTGCTCCTTACCCATCTGCCCCTGCCGGCGGTGCTCCCTACCCCTCTGTCCCTGCTGGCACTGGTGCTCCCCCTGCTGCTGGCACTGGCTACCCCACCAAGACCGGTGGCTACGTCAAGCCCTCCACCCCCGCTGAGTTCACTGGTGCTGCCTCTGCTCTCAACGTCGGTGGCTTCGTTGCCGGTGTTGGTGCTTTCGCTGCTTTCTTCTTGTAAATGTCATAACCTTCAATTGAGCCTGTCTACGGGCAGGCTATGACTTTACACGATACATTGCATCGAGGATTGGTCTTCACTTCAGTAGATATCCTTGGTGTCGGAAAGGGTAATTGTAATTAGTCCGGGGATGGTGTGGTTGAATAAGAACTTGGAAAATACTTCTCTGTGCCTCATCGTGATGCTTCTGTGCAATGCTGTGAATTTGATCCATTCTACAATGCTACATCAATCCGCTTCTACCCACGCTTCTCGATTGCTTGACGAATGATCTCGAAGCCCACCACACACGAACGCTCAACCGATGCTAACACAACCTGGGTTTTATGCCCTACCGAAGGCTGTCATGAACTTCTGTTGCATGCGATGTAGTCGCACATGGATACACAGCATCAGCCTACATGTACGTCTTCTTTGCTTATGCACCTGCGAACGTGCCTGCTTCTTTCAGTGCCACGACGTCAAGGATAGCGCTGCATGCGACGCGATGACGCTCTACCGCCGAAGCGAAAGCTGCCCGTCGATTACCGCAAACTCGCTTCCCAAGAACACCAGAACTGCACCCTACGTTCTCTTGCAAATCCGCTTCGACGACCACCTGATCACGGACGGTGATGACCCTGCATGCCGATAATTGTTGGAAGCGTAGCCTGGAAGCTATGTTTCGGCCACGAACTATATTTCGATAGCCATGGTTGTTTCATCAGCCGTGCACCGTCACCGCGCTGCGAACGCCACCCTCGACAATTTTCAAGCTTTGCGCTAGACCAGTGCGCACCAGGGACATCTAGCATAGTTCCTTCTACGGGTGCTCGGTTCGTTGGCGCACGTCTGGTATTTGATGCAGGTGCTGCAACACGACCATGGAAACACAACAAGCTAATTGCGGCATGCCGAATGCCTCCGACAAATGCCCTTGTCCAGCTTGAGCAGACTTGCGCAGCTCTCAAAAGGCACATTTCAATATTGAACTGCATAACAGACGACTCCAAAGTCTTGAGAATGCTTAGTCAATACTCGCGTCAACGGGTAAAAGGTGGGGTTCCGGTATCCTTTGCTGCATGAAACCGCCAACCACCAATAGTACTCAAAAACACCGTCTAGACGTCTGATTTTACAAGAATGAGCGCAGGGTCACTATACTACTGCTGAATACAGAGCTTACCCAGCTAGCCACGTCTCACCTGAGAACCTACCCGGTCCTGCCTGGCATTCCTGGCAAATCGTATGAATTGGAGGCGTCAGTGGGGTTACCATTTTTGGAGTCCAAAGATATTTGCTTGTCAGCTTACTTTTAGATGATAGGCCTGTTGTTTCGAATGTGTAGGCGAGGATGCGACTCGGTACGCCAACGTTGGACGATCGTTGCCAATGTGCGCGCCAGCCTGACGGACCTGAGCTGGAATAACGGTATGGAAAAATTGGGAAGTATAAAGTGAGAGTGTAAACTTCCTGAAGTGAACTACGCGTTCGCTTTGGTTTCTAGCGTTTCATCATGAAGACCTTCACGCTTTTCTCGGCCTTCCTGGCCACAGCCATCGTCGCCCCAGCCACACTTGCGCCAAGCGATATCACACCACGCACATTGGGCGTCCTCAAGGGCCTTGCCAAATGTCCGGCAAACCCAGCTCAACCCGACGGGAAATTACCAAAGGGAAGCATATCGACTTCAGCCCTGGTGCCCATCAGCGCGAAGAACCCCGACAAGGCCTACCCAGCTACCGAATGGGCGACCGTCACCCCAAAAGACAAATGCACGATCTTCAACCTCGAGCTCGACTCCGATGCCACCCAAGGCAAGATCTGCAACCTCGTCTTTGACTTCCCTTCTCTCGTCCAAGCACCCGGTCTCTTCGTCTTTAAGGGATCCGGACATTTCACATTCACCGGCTATGCCATTAATGCGGGTGCAGAGCCTGGCGTTACTACATACAACAAGCAGCCAGCTCCAGGTCCTAGCCCACCGAACCCTCCGGCAGTCATAAAGCCAGGCAACAGCTATGTTGTCAACGGTGCGCCGTGTGGAATCCCACCTGGTATTGGCAAGGTGACTGTTAGTGGAGCGCTGTGCTCCGAGGACACGACGTTGACGTTCAAGCAAAGCGACTTGATCTGCCCGTTGGGCTTTTACGTGGTGCTTACTGATGATCCTAATGCGGGAGGGTATGCGGCTCCTCACTAGATATTTGGTGTCGTTTCAATGATCGTAAGGAGCATCAATTCAGTACATTAGCGTAAAGACTCCAATTCATGTTTGCAAATTCCAACTTTGACATTCTCTCGCGGCTTCGTGAAGAAACGGGGCTACATGTAGCGCTGTCGGGTTCGCTCTTTCCCTCCCGTCATTCTGCATCGATGCAACTCCATCATCGCCCGATCAACATCGTCAATACTGGTATTAGGAGTGTGATAAGTTATGCTATCTTGAGTATTGCAGCGATATGGACACGCATCGACGTGCATCGGAAGTCTCCGACACCCGATCGCTCTTGCGTGTTTGCGACGTTGCGCGGGGAAGCGTACTAACCCTATCAATCCCTACAGTACAGCTTCAAAATCTCGACTTACTTTACATTGATCAATAAAACCATTCCGTTCGTACCATCGCAACATAAACATTGTGTTTCAATTATCAGTTTCGGGATGCAGATGCGAATTATTGTCCCACGTCAAGTTCATCTAACTACTCAGAGGCTCAAGATGCAAGCGCACAACAGCGCAACTAGTGAACGTCTCAAGAACGCAACATGGTACTTCTTCGATCTCGACGACACTCTCCACGAATTTCGCAAGGCATCTTCCGCCGCCGTGGATGCGACACTCCGACTCATTCTACAAAGCCATGCTCGCCACCAACGTTCTTCCGGTGAGCCGCTCACAATCGCCGAGCTAAAAGCAGAATACTTCAAGATCCTCAAAATCGGCACATCTGCCGCCTTTGTGGATGGTAAAACAAGCCACGAGTATCGCGCCGAGCGCATTCAGGGTGTTATGAACGCTTTTGGTATCGATTGTACGGAGCAGCAGATGCAGGCATTGCTCGACACGTATGAAACTGCGATTACACGGAATCTGCAACTCAAAGAAGGTGCTATACCACTCCTTCAAACACTCAAACAACGAGGAAAGAGCATAGCGATCATCACCGAAGGCCCTCAAGATTCACAAGAACGTACCGTGGCTGCTTTAGGCCTAGAGCCGTATTTCGACAGGTTGATTACTACGAATAAGCTTGGTGTGGCGAAGATTGACGGTCTTTTTGGCAAGGCGTTGGATATGGTTGGTGTGAAGAGCAAGGAGGTGGTTGTGGTGGGTGACAGCTGGGATAGGGATATTGTTCCTGCGGTGAAAGCGGGGATCAAGTGTGTGTGGTTTGCTGAGAAAGATGAGGGAGGAGAAGGACTTGTTGCTGTGAAAGGAGGAGAAAGCAGAGTGATTTTAGTAAATTCGTTAGGTCGGCTACAAAGTATGATTCCAGAGGCTCAGAACTGATCGGATTAATCATCGATAAGCCTGCAGCATATGTTGCGCAGATGCAAAGCCGACAAAGGGCATGTAATAAGTGCAAGAGCCCGCTCAATCATCCCCGATAACTTCTGTGGACCATTCCGGAATAATGTTACCGTCCTCATCGATGGGATTCCCCTCCTCGTCGATACGATCTCCGTCCTCGTCGACGAGGTTTCCATCCTTGTCGACGAAGTTTCCATCCTTGTCGATGAGCTGTCCGTTCTCCATGATGATATTCCCATTCTCATCAAGAACGTATCCGTCTTCGTCGTCATCAATGGAGATGGAGATGGCTTCTTCAACTCTGAGGGAGCCATCTTTCGGGCGCTGAATGTGCTTCAATTTCTAGTACCTTTAGTCAGCCATGGTGAGCCCCGAGGAAACGTGTCTGCATTGTGTTTTCGCAAGACCACCAAAAAAGGTTACTTACATTGCTCCAAAATTTTCTGCTCGGTCTGAACAGCATACCACTGAAAGAGATGGCGTGGCCGCCAGGCTCCTACTGGCTGTTAGTAACGAGTGTTCCAGGAACATAAGAAGAGATCTACCTACATTCCACACTCTGTGCTCGTCAATGTCAGTCTGGACCTCGTGCGAACTGTTGACCCCAAGTTTGCCGATATTCGTCGCCCCGATTTCGGCTCCGGTGTCGATCTTACTGCCCGTCTTGTTCCACATGGCAATACTGCACTTCTCCGTGCTCCATGTGGCTGTGATGATCCAGACGCCGAACTGAATAATGTGTGCGAGATAGTTATCCGTTAACTGCTTCATGTTGTCCGTAATCCAATCCTCAATGATCTTGCGCGCATCAATGTTAAACTTCTTGTGCACCACATTTGGCGATACAACTACACCAGCGCCGGCTTTTGCAGTACTTCCCACTGCGAAATTGGCTCCAACGTCCACGGGTGCTTGGGCAGCGATTCCGGACACCTCAGCTTTGGCGCCGAAACCACTGTCTTCGTTCTTCTCGACAACCTTCTTGTCCCATGTGCACGTAGCAGGCTTGGTCAGAACGAGATCCTTCTTAGGGACCTTGTACTCGTTGGGGTTGTGCCCCTTGAGTTCAGTAAGATCGGTAATGACTTGCCACCCTCCATTTTCATCGAAGAAGCCGCAAGAGCCGGGATGGAAGATGAGGTTAGAGGGTGGTGTATACAAGTAGGTGCCTTCGGTGCACATGCTCATAATTTGGGCGTATGCTGTCTCCATTTTGCTGTCGTGTGTGCTGGAGAATATGAAGGGTTCTGGATGAAATGCAGGTAGAGTGACTGAAGTCTAGTCTTTCCACACCTGAGAGAAGCTCCCTATATAATGTCGCGCAAGTTGTTTACTACGAAGAAAAAGAAACAAACACTATGCGCTCAGAGCTGAGTCCCTATCTGCAGCTCGTCGGGCCATACCGCAAGTACTCTGGAGTAGCCAGGTTGACCCCAACAGTAATCGCCGAACAGAGGATACAGCTGCGAAGTTTTGGGCAAATGACGGGCTGCGCAAAGGTGTTGCCGGTCAAACACCAATGCACGGCTCCGCGGATCATGGAACACGGCGAGGCTATCGAAGATCATTTCCTCACTCTCATGTTGATCGATAGGGCACAGCGAGAGTGTCGAAAATCGTTCCCACACCTTTATGTCGATTGATAGGATGGCGCAGTGAGGGTACGGAAAATCATCCCCACACATTTGTAGTGATCGCTGGGGCGGCCCGCGCGCCGTCGGTGGTTCCGAAGACACACAGCTTGTACGTAGCCCGCAGACCGGCGCTGTCATATACCGTCGCCCTAACACACAACGTGTGATGGACCTTTGAGCCTGTGAATTTGCGCTAATGTATGAATGTAGTCAGTTGTTTGTGCTTATAAAGGCGTTGCATTCGTCGCGAACATGCCCGTCGATTTCTCTAGTGGTTGAGGGTATCTGCGAATTTCGGTATGCCAACGCACATCCGGACTCCGATCCTGATCGCACCTACGTCATTAAAAGTTTATATTCTGGGCTTTCGACCACAGTTCTGGAAAGGGACTTGGTCGAAGCTTCCTATGATGTTGTTCTGTCGTCAGAAAGCTGTCGTAACTGGCGTATCTAAGCGAGGTGGGCCTGCTGTCATCGCATTTGTCGTGGGCTTCTGCGGGTTTGACTCGATCGAGCGGTCGAGAAGCTCTTTGGCAGCCGCCTTCAGTATATCAGTGGGTTCGTGTTCAGAGGGACGTCGCGCTATCGGCGTACTCGAGAACGCGTCGTTAGCGCACACGTCGCGAGAGCTGTCAGTGTCAGTGTGCTCCGTGCGCAATCTCGGCATTCGCTCCCGCGGTCCACGAGTCTTGCCGATGCCACAAGCGTGAAAGCAAAGGATTAGCACGACTTTAGCATCGATCACTTCTGCACAAGACAGCAGACCAACCGTGATGATCGTCGTCAGACAACGGCAGTTCTTTGAGCAGTTCTAGATAACACACTAGCAGCAACCTACGCCTCCATCTCAGTCTCGCCATCACACTCCATTCCGTCCATCCCGACTTACATACCACATAGCCTCATGCCCATCACACCTCACCGTCCCCCGCGCCGCGACCTTCCCACCATGCAAATGCGCAAACCTCTTAACCGCCTCATCAATAATATCAGCCATATCCTGGTTATTCATATCGAACGAGAACTCATGCGGCGTGTTGGGTATAGCACCAATACTGAACCCGCAGGGAAATTGGTGCATATGTTGTTGGTAACCTTCTGGTTTGCCTTTGGCATATCGGTGTTAGTGGGGATGAGTGGAGGCGCTGAGTGGATTTACCTTCTAAGTTGACGACCCATTCGCCGGCGTCTCCGAAGATACTAAAACACGACTCCTGGCATTCTGTTGTGGTGGGTGGGTTGGCTGCGGAGAGGGTGGTGTCTTCGTAGGTGAGTGTGTCGCAGTGGCCTAGTGTGCTCTTGTCGCCTTCGCAATAGTTGATGTCGGGGGAGAGTTGGGCTGCTGTGAAGGTGGCAGCGAGGAGGCTGAGAAAGAGAGATGATGTTGAGTGCATGGTGATGGCTTGGTGAGGTGAGTTGAGTGTGATGCTGTAGAGAGAGGAATGGTTATGAGGGAAAATGAGGTCGTCTTGTATGTGATGACATGATTCTACGCCTTACGCATACATACGAGGTGCATCACAGCGTAGGGTAGTTATTGGATGGAACATGGGATGATGTGAGAGGTGCAGCGGTGATGCGAGGTAAGTCGTATACCCGCGGGGATCTTCAGATGAAGTGACGAATCAGATTGACGGCAGCGTGTTCATCGGCGAACAACAGGCCATGATCTACATACCCGCCATCACGGCGTAGCCCATTCACACGATATAAGCTGCATGCGCGCCTAAAATCCCAGGCCAGCGCGTCGAGATACATGAGTTATACCACCCATGTATCTATCTGACATACTGACACCATACCGTCAGCTGACACTGTGCCTATCCAACGCTTTGCTCCTTCCCTTCGTCACACTTCCTGATCGGCTCCTCGAAGTGTTTCAAACTTCGGGATGCTACAACTCAGACTGTCGGTCCTTGCGATATTCTTTAGCTCGCTTGCGACCCTCCGCAGCTAGCTTAAGACCTTCCTTAGCTCGCTTCCAACGTTCCTCAGCTAGCTTGCGAGCTTCCTCAGCTCGCTTTGTACTTGCGCCAATTCATCCTTTGAAAGTACATCGTCTTCATCTGTTTCGTCCACACCATGAGATCCCAACCGCTTAGCAACACCGTCCGAAACTGAAAACATTCCCTTGTTTAGCTCAACGCCCAAAGCGTGCCTCTCTTTCGATTGCTCCTTGCTTTTCTTCTTTTCAACCATCTCACCACCCCGGAATACAAACGTGCGGTCAGTAAGTCGCTTCCATAACTTGACGAATGGAGATGACGTTTCATCGGACTTATCCGAGCTTTTTGCAATACGAGACTTGGAAGAGATGTGCACGCGGCCATCGTCAGAGTTCAGCGGTGCATCACCAACGTGATTCATCTGCTCAGCAAAATCCCGCCACAGCGCATTCATCTCAGTCTGATAAACCTCAGGCATATCGTCAAAATCGGGGTACTTCTTATACATGGCGGTAATTCGATCCGTTATCTTCTTAAGCTTACGCGAAGGCGTGTTCTGGTTGATACGCCAGGTCTTCCCTTTCGGACCATACAGCTCGACAAGCCCTTCTACAGTGGCGATCGACGGATCGATTCGACGGCTCAGCGCGCTAACATATGCGACCAAGTCCTCTTCTATAGCTGGATCCATGTCAAGGGAGTCGATGGCGGCTTGAACGGTGTCTGTGAACGTGGAGTAGGCCTGTTTGGCGTTATCGAGAGCGAGGATGGCACGATTGCCAGCGGTAGCGATGCTCGCTTGTAGGGAGGCTTTTGGCGCGGCGGAGGCGGAGGCGGACACTAGGCATGCTAGGCTGGCGAAGAGGGTGGTAGTCATGGACAGCTTCATGTTAGTGACGAGGGACTTTGGGTGTAAGGTTGAGAGATTGAGGGGAGGCGGTGGATGGGAAGGGGATCAGAAGTTAGACTGGTGGTGGTACCATATATACATCGAGGGAAGAAGCAAGAGGGTGATTTCACGCGCGGACCGTGCTGTGAGAAGGCGAGTGAGCTGCCTATCGATGACATGCTTTCACTATCTACGGAGGACTAGCGGTGTCTTTCACGCGTGGTTCCATTTAGTGAGACAAACTTATGCACATTTAGATAAAGGCAGCAAACAATATGGGGTATCCTAACACATCCAAACCGACCCGCTCGAATAAAGACGCCGCGCAATGCTTTTCGAAATATGCAACAGAACCATCTTTTTTGTTCAATCAGAGTCCTCCCATCTGACTAACCTCTCCAAACCCCACTCTCGCCCTATCACCTCTCGGCCTCCCCCTCTTCATCGCACTTCCACTCCCACTCCCACCAACAGCAACACTCCCCCCAAACCCACCTTCCCTCAACCTCC